CATCTTAGCTGTAGAGGGCAGTGTCACTGGCCCTCATATGTGGGATCCGAACCGGGGCCCTCTGGCATCCCAAGCCAGTTCTTAACCAGTGCGCCACTCGGTCGGCCCAGAAAGGTTTTTTCTTGCCCAGCAACAACCCAGCCAATGAAAAGTCACAGCAAGGGCTGCCCAAGTGTCTCAGTTGGTTAAGAGCGCTTGCTCTAAGCAACAGGGTTGCCAGTTTGATTCCCACATGGGCCAGTGAGCTGTGCCCGAGCTGAGCTGCCGTGGAGCTGCCAATAGGTGGCAAGATGGCTCAGCTGGTGACAGCATGTTTTCTTAAGGTTGCGAGTTCGACTCCTGAATGGGATGGTGGGCTACACCCACCTGCAACTAAGATCGAACACGGCACCTTGAGCTGAGCTGCCCTGAGCTGCCGACAGGTGACCGATGGCTACAGAGTGTGCTCTTAGCAACAAGGTTTCCAGTTTGACTCCCACATGGGATGGTGGGCTGTGCCCACCTGCAACTAAGCTTGAACAGGGCACCTTGAGCTGAGCAGTGGCGAGCTGCCGACGGGCAGCTGGATGGTGACTGGAGTTGGAGCTGAGCTAGCTGCGCCCTCCACAACTAAGATTGAAGGACAACAAATTGGCTGTTCCCCTTCCCCAATTCCCCAATAAAAATCTTTAAAAAAAAAAACCATAACAGCAACTCACTCAACAAGAAGCTGCCACAACCCTGAATTCTCACTCTCCTCCCATGAACTTTCAGTCAAAGCGACCCCTCCCAACTCTCCTTTTTCCTCTATGAAAGAATACTTCTCTCCTTTGTTTTCCAGACTTGTCTACGTTTGCCTTAGTTGGTGTGCCACAAATTGCAATTCCTCTTCTATTACTGAATTAACTCAATTTTGCTGATGAAACACTTGGCTTTTTTATTTTTAAGGCTGACACTCCTTAGGAAATTAGAAAAAATAGCCAATAAATCCAAAATAAGCAAAAGAAAAAAATTATAAGTATTGAAAGGAAATTAAGAGAGAAGATTAACAAAACCAAAATCTGGTCCTTTGAAAAGATTGATAAAATCTATAAGCCTGTAGCCAGGTTAACTAGGAGTAAAAGAAAGAAGACACAAATCACTAATATCAGAAATGAAACAGGACATTACTACAGATCCCATGGACATTAAAAGGATAATAATGGAATACTAGAAACAATTCTATGCCTACAAATTTGATAACCTAGGTGAAATGGACAAATTTCTTGAAAGATACAATCTGCCAAACTCACACAAGAACATGAACAATCTGCATAGGCACCTATATATTGAACAAATTGAATCAATACTTTAAAATTATCCAAAACAGAAAACACCAGGCCAAGATGGGTTTACTGGTAAATTATATCAAACATGTAAGGAAGAAATAATACTAATTCTGGTAGCATGTACTCAATCTATTGAGATCTTGCTTCTAAGCATGTCAATAAATTTTGGCTCGAACTTTTATAAAATTTTTCTACAAAAAATTATACCAGCTCTCTACAATCTCATCCAGAATATAGGAGCACATAGAATACTTCCTAACTCATCCTGTAAGGCCAGCATTACTCTAATGCCAAAACAAGACAAATACAATATAAAAAGAAAACTACATACCAATATCATGAACAGAGATGCAAAAATCCTCAACAAAATATTACAAAATCAAACAATGTATAAAAAATATCAGACATGTAATGATGGCTCAACATTTGAAAATTAATGTAACCATTACATCAACAGGCTAAAGAAGAAAAATCATGTTGTTATATCAAGATGCAGAAAAAGCATTTGATAAATCAAAACCCTATAAAAATAAAAAAACTCTGCAAACTAGAACGAGAAGGTAACTTCCAAAACTTAATGGTGAGAAACTAGAATCTTTGCAGACTACATAATAGTCTGTAGAAAATCCAAAAGGATTGACAAAAGAAAAAAAAATTCTATAAGTGAGTGTAGCAAAGTTGCAGGTTATAGGTTATATTAAAAAATAAATCAATTGCTCTCCTATATAGCAACAATTAACGAATGGAAGTTGAAATTGAAAACACCTTAAAAACCATTTAGATTAAAAACCATTTACATTAAATTATGTTGAAAACCATTTAGATTAGCTCCCCAATAATGAAATGCCTAGGTATAAAGCTAAATACCAAATGCTGATGACAATGTGGAACCACAGGAGCTCTCATTCTTTGCTGATGGGGATGCAAAATGGTGCAGCCTCTTTGGAAGACAGTTTGGCTAAACATACTCTTATCATATGATCCAGCAATCCCACTCCTTGGTATTTACCCAAAGGAGTTGAAAGCTTATGTCTAACATAAAAACCTGCACACAGATGTTTATATAACAGCTTTATTCATAATTGCCCAAACTTGGAAGCAACCAAGATGTCCTCAGTAGGTAAATGGATACATAAACTGTTACATACAGTTATCAAGCTATGAATAGACATGGCAGCAACTTGAATGCATATTATTAAGTGAAAGATGCCAATCTGAAAAGGCTACATACTGTATGATTCCAACAATATGTCATTCTGGAAACGGAAAAACTATGGAGACAAGAAAAAGATTAGTGGTTACCAGGGGCTGGGGAGAGGGAGGGATGAATAGGTAGGTGGAGCACAGAGGATTTTCATGCAGTGAAAATACTCTAAATGATGCTACAATGATGGATAAATATCATTATACATTTGTCCAAACATTGAGAATGCAAAACATCAAGAGAGAGCCCTAATGTAAACTATGGACTTTGAGTATTAAAGATGTATCAATGCAAATGTACCACTGTGGGGCAGAATGTTGATAGTGCAGAAGGCTGTGCATGTGTATGGGTAGGAGGTATATGGCATATCTAGGTACCTTCTGCTCAATTTTGCTGTTAACCCAAAACTGCTTTAAAATAAAGTCTATTTTTTAAAAATTGACCTGTAAAGGCTGAAAAAGCCGAAAACGAAGCAAGAGAAAACAAAGATGATAATGAAAATAAAGAGAAGGCTGGAGATAAGGATGAAAACAATTAGTTTTGTTGAAGCTGGTATTAACAAAGATGTTTCTTGTCTATAAAGCATTTAACCCATTACAAATGTCACTATTTCTAATTTCTTTTTAAAAGAAAGGAAATTTAGGCTAGATTTGTTTTTCATTTTAAGACTTCTTGTATACTCAATAGCATATTGTATGTGTCTTTAAACAGTCTTGTCTTTTCATGTAGTTTTCATTAGCCACTGACGGTCCATGGAGGTTAAACCTGGCCTGGTTTAACTCTTTGAGGATGGCAGATTGTTCTAGTTCACATGCATTTGATGCAGCCTCAATGAAGTAATCATTGTTCTGTTAACTAAATATCACATTGTAATTGCAAAATCCTACATATGTATTGAAAAGAAAATCTGAGCCCCGGCTTCTATTCATACCTGGACATGGGCCAGGGAAGAGTAGGTGTGAGGGTCTCTGTTGGGCTGGTTCCCCTGTCTACGCCCCCACCACCTCCACCGCACCTGAGGTGACCCCAGCTTCGACCAGTCAGGCTTGAGATAGTAGATGATGCCATCCAGGGCGCCAGACAGCAGCATTCCACGCACGAGCAGCACAACGAGAACCACGTAGGGGAATGTAGTGGTGAAGTACATGATCTGGAGAGCCGGGTTGCTCAGAGGGGCCCCATAGCACCCACCTCCTCCTTAGAGGCCCCCAGCGTGGGCAGCCTGAGGCGGGCAGGCCACGTCCCCCACCACGGGACAGCGTGGTCAGAGGTCAGAAGGGAGGCCAGTGGGAAGACCCCCTCGTCCTCCTCAGAGCCATGGCTCCTCCCAAAGGAAGCCAGGTGCTCCTCGGGGGCACCAGCAGCCCCATGGTATGCACAGGTAAGCCGAGAGGGAGAGCAGAGGCAGGACTGTTCCTGAGGAGGGGCAGGTCCTACACCTCCTATGCCCTAGTCTCCAGGTCATCCTCTGAGGAGGGGACCTTGGTTGCTGGGATTAAAAGTAGGTCAGCAAGAGACACAAGCAAGAGTGACAATGACCACAGGAAAATATCGAGTAGGGGGTCTGTTTTCAAAGAAACATGGGGGTTACATAGGACTCTGAGCGGCAGATTCCATGCGGGAGTACTTATCAGTTAAACGCCCTACCGGATATCTGCCACGGATTGGCGGGAATCATTCCTCATTTGCGCAGGCGCCCCCTGGAGATCCCGAATTGCATTGCGCATGAGAGGGTGGAACTTCGTGAGAGGGCCTCAGTCCCTCAGCGGCGGGCTGAGAGTGCCGACAGATTCAAGATGGACTCTGAGGGGAACAGGGCAGTCGCAGCCGCTTTAGTACAGGCTGCCGACGAAGGTGCCGGTGAAGCACCTGGGGCACAGGGTAGCCCCGGCGGCCCTGAAGGCCTGGGCCTCGCAGGCATTGCGGAAGGCCAAGGTGGTCCTGGCGGCCCGTGTGGCCCTAGTGGTGCTGGTGGCCCTGACGACCAGAGTGGCCCTGGCAGTCCTAATGACCAGGACGACAACAACCAGGGAGGCCCTGGTGTCCTGGGCGGCCCTGGAGTCGGAGCGGAGGGATCAGCAGCCGAAGATGCTCCCAGTGTCGTGCGGGCGGCACATGCTTCAGGGCCAGGTGGAGATGCAGCAGCAGGCGCTGTAGGACCAGGAAACCAACATGTCGTCTTGAATCCTTTCCAATGAGCCCCTGCGGCCTAGTGGCCAAGGGATGGGTCAGGGACATCCCGCAAGGCCAGGGTTGGCTTTGGGGGAATGGGGACAGAGCAGCCTGGGGGAAACAGAAGTGGGAGCAGGGAGGGGAACCTGGGGTAGCCTGGTGGGAGGCAGAGTCGACACCTGAGGAGGCTGAGGAGGCTGGTGGTGGGGAAGCAGCCTGAAGGGGTGGGGGAGGTGGGACAGGATGAACTGAGGGAGGAGGGAGGCAGGCTGAGGTGGCAGGACTGGGTGTGCCTGTGCATGGGGGGGGGGGGGATGTGGGGATGAACGACCTGAGCGGAGCCCCGGGGAAGGCCAGCCTCCGAGATATAAGAGAGCCTGAGGCCCTGGCACATTCCGCAGCAGATGGCGCCTTAACCACGTGACCCTCAGCATGGTCACTGTGCCTTTTGAGTCCTTTCTGGAGGCAGAGATGGCCAGCCTGGCCATGGAAACAGATATCCAACACCCCTGGCAGGGAGTTCAAAAGGAGGTCACAGTGAATGGCAGCGTCCTGGTTGTGTGAGTTCTAGAATGAGCCAAGAAAGAGGTGGTAGCACGTGCCAAGGGCCTAAGTTGCAATCTTAGCCCCAAAGGGTCTCTGTAATAGATGCAGGGAGACACTCAGGTGTTAGGTCTCAGGAGGGGGTGTGGTGTGCTGGGTGCGAGAGAGAGTCTTCACCTTTAACTTGATTTTTATGCCTCTTTAGCAGATGGATTGCTGAAGACACTGATCGTCTCCGAGTTTCCATTTACTCCTTCTTAGAACGGCTTTCCGTGGTGTTCCGGAACATTCAGCTCATTCGGCACCTCCTTCCAACAGGTTTCGACATCTAAAACGGGGCTGGGACCTAACACTGTGACTCCTACTAGGCAGTGCACAGGGAAATGATTACTGAAGTAGTGCCCCTCTCTTGCCCGTATTTTTGTTTGGCTCCCTGGGTACACATGTGTTGCATCCCTGTTGCTTGAGAAATGGGATGATTAAATGTCTGTTTCTGCAGAAATCAACACTGAGCTACTGTTCTCTGTCCAACTTTCTCTTCAGCTACTGTGTCTGCACAATTTCTTGCCTTTGTCTTCATGTTGGAGGGGTGGGGAAGTTCTAGGATTCAGATAGTCATATAATGTAGTAATTGAAGACAACTAGGAAATGCAAGAAAATTAAAATCAATTGTGTCCTGACATTCAGCATTCAGTAGTCTCAACATTTTGGAATATCTTTCTACTTTTATACTTGTATTTATACGTTCAATGTGTAAGACTATTAGTTATAAGTTATGTTTTCGCAACCTTAACAGTAACTTCTCCTGAAGTTATTTCATTGAATGTGTGATCATTATCTTTTTGAAAGTCCTTCAAAAATATGTTACTGAATGAAAGGATGAATGAAAGATGCATTATAAGGTAATTATTGTACATTTATTTTTTTCATTATTGTGGTTAATGATTCAATGGAATTCTTATATACTTTTTTTTTTTGGAGGGCAGTGTAACTGGCCCTCATATGTGGGATACGAACCGGGGCCCTCTGGCATCCCAAGCCAGTTCTTAACCATCGCGCCACTTGGCCGGCCCGGAATTCTTATATTTAAGTCTTTCCATGCATGGTTATTTCCTGAAGATAGAGTCCAAAAATGTAAAGATAGTGACCTCAATGTTTAATTTCTATTTCTTTTTCAATACCCTGGATCACCCTTGCTCTTCTGACACCATGCCTCCCACCAGATTTCTGGTTTTTCAACATCCTTGTCCCCATTGGGTTGGTTTCCTACTACAAGAAAAACTTAGTTTACATAAGAGGACTAAAAATCCAGACCCACTAAAATAGGAATGTTCTGGCTGACTGCACTTGTTTCAGGTCAGCAGGGAAACGTGCTGGCACAGTTGGTTCAGAATTTCGGTAGGGGCATTTAGCTCCGTGTAAAACACTGTTTATCCTGCAATCTTGCTAAACTCACTACTTAGTTCTAAAGATTTTATTGGGAAATTGGGAAAGGGGAATACTGTTAGGGAATTGGGGAAGGTGAACAGCCAAGTTGTTGTCTTTCAGTCTTAGTTGTGGAGGACGCGGCTATTCAGCTCCAAGTCCAATCACCATCCGGCTGCCTGTTGGTAGCCCAGGGCAGCTCAGCTCAAGGTGCCATGTTCAATCTTAGTTGCAGGTGGTCATAGCCAACCATCCCATGTGGGAGTCAAACCAACAACCTTGTTAGGAGGACATGCTCTCACCATCTGAGCCATCCTGCCACCTATTGGGAGCTCAGCAGCAGCTCAGCTCGGGCGCAGCTCACTCGCCCATGTGGGAATCGAACTGGCGATGCTGGTGCTCAGAGCTTGTGCTCTAAGCTACTCGGCCATCCCTCTGGTAATTTTTTTTTGTATTGTAGACAGTATGTATTTTTCCTTGGGAGCTGAGTACGTTTTTTATTCCTAAATAATTTCCTGAACTTTGTAAATGGGATGTTCTTAACTGACTTCATAACAGTTTGATCCCTGTGAGTCTTGCTTTTTAATATTTACTCCATGGGCCCAGAGCAGCTTTTGGTGTAGAGTGAAGTGTTTTCCACACTAGTGAGACAGGATCCCTCTGATGTCATGCCTGTGTCGGTCAGTATTCGCCCGGATGCTCAGGGCACCCTCGGCAGACCTCCAGGATCCTCTCTGCCTGCAGCCCTGGGTCGACAGTACACTGACTGAGCTGTAAGGCCCAACTTCAGTCTGGTCCTTCCTCCCTCCCCGGGCAAGGCCCAGAGTCAGTCTACTGCCTGGCCCCACGGACGGACTACTGAAGCTGCTGGTGGCTTTAACACCTGAGTCAGGTCATGGAAGTCCTGTGTTCCAAACCCGCCCTGGGCTCCCCTCTCACTCAGACACAGCCAAATCCTTCACAGTGGCCTATGGAGTGCTATACAATCAGGGCCGCGTCCTCTCTGGCTTCCTCCCGTCCCTTTTCTACTGTGCTCTGTCTGATCCAGCCACTTGGCCTCGTCCCCTTTCTGAAACACATCAGGCCCACTCCTGCCTCAGGGCCTTTGCACTGGCTCTTTCCTGTCTGGAATTCTCTTTCCCCGGGGACCCACCTGGCTTATTCCCTGACCTCCTTCAGGTCCTTCTCAGATGTCACCCGCTCTGAGATGCTTTTCTGGCCACCGCATTAAAATGGCATTCCACTTCTCCCATCCCCTGCATTCCTTATTATCTGCATGCAGTATCCGCAGCTCTGAGAATACGACCTCATGGCACACAGTAGGCCAAGACACACGTGCTCTTTAAACAGACCATGGTGTCTGTCAGCCGAGTCTCACCAAAGGGCATTCTCTTGGCCCAGAACCCTCCCAGCCTGCCCCTGCTCCCCTCCTTCACTCTGCATTCATGGGTGGGAGAGGGGAGAAGAGGCTGGTAGGTTCACTATGATGGATATACAACCAGGACAGGAAGGAGGTGCCAGACGTTAAGGAGATTGTGTGCATTGGTGCCACTGGGTGTGGGGGGTGGTTTGAACACAGCAATGACATGATGTGCCTTCCATCTTAGCAGATTTTCTGTTCCAAGTTGACTATGGCCTGAGGGAGGCCAGGGCAGAAGGCCTGTGATAGGTTGGTAACATCCAGGAAGGCACATATTTACAGATGCAGATGGTGAAGTGGAGATAAATTAAGTATACAGCTGGTTGGGGGTACAAATAATAAGAAGGGAGGAGCTGTCACAACCCTTGGCACAAGGGCAGGAAGCTGAGGGTGTTGCTGCTGGGATGGGGGGTTTGGTTTTGTCACCCTCTTCCCGCCTGGGGGCCCAAAGCAAGGCCCTAATGAAGGGTTCCAGTTGTGCCAGGGGCATATTGGTGTGGTGAGCTCAACTGTGCCACCCAATCCCGGACTCAGTCCTGAGTTCCAGGTGAGAGCCTGTCCACATTGACAGGAGCAGGGTCCAAGACTGAGAAAGCCCCTCCTCACCGGTTCTGCCACCCTTAGCTGTTTGTTGCTGGTCATGAGGCTCATGATCTGTTCCAGCTTCTGGGCAACTTAGGTGAGGTAGACAAAGTCTCTGAAAGGCACAAATTACTAAAACGAAGACAATAAGGAAAAATAATATCTGAGCTAGTCTGTGTCCAGTAAGGAAAATGCATTCATGACCCAAAACCTCCCCACGAATAAAACTCCAGGCCAGGCACTATGTTTATTGCTTCTATCAAACATTTAAGCAAGAAGTTTTCCTGGTCTCACACATTGTTTTCCAAAAATAGAAGAATGTGAACAATATTATTGTGAAACAAAAGACAGACAAATATAATAGCAAGAAGACAACTGCAGACCAATATCCCCTTGAGCATTGATGTGCAAGAATTACGTACCTAAAAATTCATAAACCAAATTCCACGATATAGTGAAAGACTAATGTGCTGTGATGATGTGCATCTTATCCTCGAAAAGCAAGGTTAAAGGACTAACACAGCCTAATTTCAGAAGTTATTCTAAATGTACAGAAATCAAGATGGTGTGGAACTTGGTACCAGGGTGGACACGTAGATCTGTGGGCTAGAATTCGAAGTCCAGAAGCAGACCCACGCATATAGGGTCACTGGATTTTCAACAAAGATGTCAAGATAATTCAATGGGGGAAGGATAGATAATATTTTGAAGAAATGGATATGGAATATCCATATTGGTAGGGTAAGCTTCAACCTCCTTGGCTACTGGCTTGGTGTGCACAAAGATTAACTTAAATCAGCCATACCTGATGAGATAAGTAAAGAGTTAATACGAACGGGTTTGTAAGCTGGCAGGATAGTACAGGCAAAGAATTAACAGATGTGAGGTTGTAAGCTGGCAGGAATAAGTTTAAACATTAACTATTTGCAATCCCCTGGCTTGCACTGCACCTGCAAACTGACAAGCACCTTACATCCAACATAGGTGGGAACAGAATGGTTTCCAATCACAACAGCAACCCCCTGCAAGCTGGCATTCATCATAGATGGAAGAGGACAATTCCCAGGAGAAGACAATTGTAATGGCATCCCCCTCCCTGCAAGCTAACAAGCACCCTACATCCTGCACAGGAAAATATAAAACCCCTGCACTCCTTATCGGTGCAGCTGTCTCCATCCGACTCTGCCCTGGCAAACTTCTGCCAGTATCTCTCTTACCCCTCTGTCTCGGCAGCTCTTTCTATCAGACTGCCTTTGCAAAACTTCTTTTGCCAGAACTCTCTCTTTGTTTTTGGCTTTCAATAAATCTTTTCTTATTACTCTTGTAGAGCCTCGTGGATGATTTCAAGTTTTGCAAAGGACCCGGGGTTAATTTTATGCCAATAAAATACCTACATGTGTAAAAGCTAAAACTACAAAACTTTAAGGACTCATAGGGGAAATGTCTTTGTGACCTTTTGGTAGGCAAATATTTCATAGATGAAGGCAATACCACAAGCATGTAGTGAGATTATATCACTACTCTGTTCATAATAGTATGATTTTCCTAGGACTTTGATAAGAACATACAGTCATGCACCCACATAACGATGTTTAATTGAACCACAGACCACATACCTGATGGTGGTGCCATAAGATTATAGTGGGGAAAAATCCCTATCTTCTTGTGACTTCATAGCTGTCCTGATATGAGTCCGCAATGAATTACTCATGCGTTGGTGATGATGCTGGTGTAAACCAGCTTACTGCCCTGCCAGTCGTGTAACAGTATAGCACATATGATTGTGTACAGTACATAACACCTGATAATGATAATAAACCACCATGTAAATGGTTTATGTATTTACTGTACTATATTTTAATCGTTAATTTGAAGTCTATTATTTCTACTTATATAAAAATTGTTATAAAACAGTATACCATATTATGCAGGCAGCAGCCTCATACATCTCCTGTTTACTGTGTCTCCGATTGCATCATTTCCTCGTGTTCCAGACAAACAGGTGAGACAGACATCCCTAAAGGAGGTCCACACAGACCTTCCAAACAGGTGAGTGAGGAACAGAAAGGAACTGGGATGGAGGGCAGAGACGGGACCCCCCGACACAGGGAAGGGGCAGCTGCTGCCCGGGGCTCTCCTTCTCAGGAGAGAAGGCTGCTGGGCCTGGATTTGGAGAAGGGGGAGGATTGTGCAGCCATGGGGTGGGGATCAAGTGACCCGGGTTGAAGTACCTGCCCCCTACTTGGACCCAGACCTTATTCTAGTCACCACCTGTTGCAACACTGGTTCCTGGCAGAGACCCCCACCAAAAGGCAATGCTGCCCCAGCCTTGCTGTCACTCCCAGCTCTCCGTGTCCAGCTGTACCTTCCCTGTTGACTTGACCCAGACACAGAAGTGAACCAGCACTCAGCAGGCCGGCAGACACAGGGTTCCATCCCAGTTGAGGGCCCTTGGCACCTCCCGCCCCGAGCAACCAGAAGACATTGGCCCTGGGGAGAGGAAGAGCCCGTGAGGGCTGTGCCAGCAGAGGGAAAAGCGACTGGGAGCCGTCCCAGTGGTGGTGCTCCCCCTCCTGCAGCCCTTGTGACCAGCGGGTCTCTCCTCAGCACCTGGGGCGGCCCTGGTCCAAGCCTGCCCTTTGGAAGCATCTCTGTTTGTGCCTGGAGCCCCGGAGTTTGTCCTGGGGAGAGGCGGTAGGGCTTGCGGCCATCCCCCTCCCCCAGTCTGGCTGTCACCACAGAGTAATAGTGCCCACTGTGAGAAATGGTGCAGAAGGAGCAAGGCCCACACATCCTGGCTCCCACAAGGCCTTGGCTTGGGGGGTCCCCCGAGGGCAGGCAGGGCCCAATACTGACTCCTGCTGGGAATACCCCTGGGCTGGGCCACCTCTGCAGCCCAGAGAAAGAGGCAGGCCCAGCCTGGCCCAGAGACTCCTGACTCACTCCCATAACTCGATGACAGGGGAAACGCAGTCAGCCTGCCACACTTGGCTGGCACTGGCACAGGCTTAGAGGCTCATGGTCAAGCATGAGGCCGGGCAGGCTTGGCGGCGAACACTCACGTGCACAACAGCCTCACAAGGGGCGACTCTGGAGTGGTGGCAAGACATGTTCGCGCAGGCGCGCTGGGGAAACCAACTGCCGCTAACCGCCAAGGGGCGGAGCTTCCTGAAGGACCCCTGAAGTTCAACTGTTCAGCCTGTGTTCGGAGTTTGGAAGTAGAGGCTGAGGTACCATGCAGGCCGCAGGCCAAGGCCCAGGCGGTGCGGCCAGCGGTGATGAAGGCCAGGGCCGTCCGGGTGACTCTGGCGGCCCAGATGGCCCTGTAGGCCACGAGGGCCCCGCTGGAGGCGGCGCGGGGGAGGCTGGTGGCGGGGCCTGTGGAGCTCCACGGGTTGCGCCGGCACTCCACGCTCCCTCGCCGGGCAGAAATGCTGTGGAGCCGGGCCAGCAGGCTGGGCCCGCAGCCAGAGGACCAAGTCGCCAACAGCTCCAGTAGTATCCTATTTGAGGAGTGGCCGGGTGGCCAGGGGACAGACCTGGGGGAGGGGTCAGCCTGGGGGTACGGAGTAAAGGGGGGAGAGAGGGGAGCAGCGTGGCTGGGGGGATGGGCCAGCGGTGGCCAGGAGAGATGGTGGGGGAGATGGACTGAGGGAGCAGGAAGGAGGGGAGCAGATGGGATGGGGTCGAGGGGGGTGACAGAGGCCTGGGGCCAAGCTGGCAAAGGCGGCCTGAGGCACAAGCAGTTGGCATTGGATGGTGCCTTAACTGAATCTCCACCAGCTCTCTTTCAGTGCCTTTTTCGTCACCCGTGGAGGCAGAGATGGCACGCCTGTACATGGTTCTACATGGTCAACCCCAACGCGAGACGGTTCGGAAGGAGTTCACAGTGTCTGGCAATATGCTGGAAATGTTAGTTCTAAAATGGGCCATTGTGGCGGTGGTGGCAGGTGGCTACAGGGTCAGCCTCCTGTGGGTCATTCTCTTCTTTTTGGGGAGCTGTTTTATTTATTGATATTTTTTTACAGTTAACATTTGATATTATTTTATTATTATTATATTAGTTTCAGGTGTACTGCATAGTGTTCAGACATTTACACAATTTATGAAGTGATACCCCTGATAAGTCTAGTACCCATCTGGCACTACATATATATTTATTACACTATCATTGACTGCATTTCCTATGCTGTATTTTACACCTACCTGACTGTTTTGTAACTACCAATTTGTTCTTCTTAATCCCTTCATCCTTTTCAGCCAGCCCCCTAACCCCTTTCCATGTGGAAACCATCAGTTTGTTCTCTGTATCTATGAGTCTATTTCTGGGTTTTTTGTTCATTTATTTTGTTCAATAGATTCCACATATAAGTGAGATTATATGGTATTTGTCTTCTATTTGACTTGTTTCCCATAGTATAATACTCTCTAGGTACATCCATGTTGTTGCAAATGATTGGATTTCAGTTCCTTTGTGTTTGAGATATATATAGATATATAGATATAGATAGACATATATCACTTTTTCTCTACACAATCATCTATTGATGGGCTCTTAGGTTGCTTCTATATTTTGGCTATTGCAAATAGCACTGCAGTGAACATGGGAGTGAATACATCTTTTCAAATTAGTGCTTTGGATTTCTTCAGCTAAATACTCAGAAGTGAGATTGCTGAGTCACAAGGTAGTTGTACTTTTAATTTTTTGAGGAAACTTCATACTGTTTTCCACAGTGGCTGCAACAATTTGCAATCCCACCAATAGTGCATGAGGGTTCCCTTTTATCCACATCCTCCCCAACACTTGTTTGTTGATTTATTGATGATAGTCATTCTGACAGGTGTGAGGTGGTATCTCATTATGGTTTTTATTTGCATTTCCCTGATGATTAGTGATGTTGAGCATCTTTTCATATGTCTATTGGCCATCTATCTGTATGTCCTCCTTGAAGAAATGTCTATTCAGGTCCTCTGCCCATTTTCAATTGGATTGTTTGTTTTTATTTTGGTACAGAGTTGTATGAGTCTTTATGAATTTTGTATGTTAACCCCTTATCAGGTGTATCACTGCCAAATATCTTCTCCTATTTGGTAGGTTATCTTTTCATTTTGTTGATGGTTTCCTTTGCTTTGCAAATACTTTTTAGTTTGATATAGTCCCATTTTGTTATTTTTTTCTTTTGTTTCACTTTCCTGAGGAGATAATATCAGAAAAAATATTACTAAGAGCAATGTCAGAGAGTTTACTGCCTATGTTTTCTTCTAGGAGTTTTATGCTTTTGGGTCTTACATTTAAGTCTTTAATCCATTTTTAGTTTATTCTTGTGTATGGTGTAAGGAGGTGGTCTAGTTTCATTTTTTTGCATGTATATGTCCAGTTTTCCCAACAACACCATTTGTTGAAGAGACTGTCTTTACCCCATTATATATTCTTACCTCCTTTGTCATAGAATAAATGACCATGTAAGCATAGGTTTATTTCTGGTCTCTCTATTGTGTTCCATTGATCTGTGTGTCTGTTTTTAAGCCAGTACCATGCTGTTTTGATTACCATAGCCTTGTAGTGTAGTTTCATAACAGGTAGCATGATACCTCCAACTTTGTTCTTCTTTCTAAAGATTGCTGTGACTATTTGGGATCTTTTATGGTTCCATATGAATTCTAAGATTACTTGTTCTAGTTCTGTGAAAAATGCCATTGGTATTTTGATAGGGATTGCTTTGAATCTATAGATTGATTGCTTTGGGTAGTATGGATATTTTAATGATGTTAATTCTTCCTTTCTGTAAAGAGGGTATACGCTTCCATTTATTTGTATCTTCTTCAGTTTTTTTTTTTTGTCAATGTCTTATAATTTTCCAAGTACAGGTCATTACCTCCTTGGTTAAATGTATTCTGAGGTATTTTATTTTTTTATTTTTGATTCAATTGTAAATGAGATTGTTTCCTTAATTTCTCTTTGTCATAGTTTGTTATTGGTGTATAAAAATGCAACCAATTTCTTTTCTTTTTTAAAGATTTTATTGGGGAATTGGGGGAGGGGAACAGCATTGGGGAATTGGGGAAGGGGAACAGGGAAGTTGCTGTCCCTTCGCTCTTCAGTCTAGTTGTGGAGGACGTCGCTTCACTGGCCCATGTTGGTATTATCATTGCGCTTTTTCCGGCTAAGGCAGTCGGTCGCCGGTCATTGGATGGCCTCTCACAGTGGCTCTTGGCAGCTCACGCTGGCTGCCGGCCACTCACAGTAGCTCATGGCAACCCACTGCCACAGGGGCTGCAGCCTATGCCGTCACCGGCGACTCATTGCAGCCCAGCTCCAGGTTGAGCTGTTGTTCAGCATCTTAGCTGTGGAGGGCAGTGTAACTAGCCCTCATATGTGGGATCCGAACCGGGGCCCTCTGGCATCCCAAGCCAGTTCTTAACCATCGCGCCACTCGGCCGGCCCAATATTTTGTATTTTTCTAGATTGCTTTTCATTTCTGTTCTGATCTACTCACTTGAGGCTGTTTGTTGTTCTTTTTCTAGTTTGTTTGGGTGTAATGTTGGATTTTTTTATTTGAGACTTTTGTTGTTATTGTTGTATTCTGAAATAGGCCTGTATTGCTATGACATTCCTGTATATCCTTTCTTTGTATCCCATAGGTTTGGGCTTTTTGTGTTTTCAGTGTTATTTGTCTCAAGGTATCTTTTTATTTCTTTTTTGATCTCATTGTTTACCCATTCATTGTTTTGTAGCAGTTATTTAGTCTCTATATGTTTATGTGTTTTCAGTTTTTTTTCTTGTAATTGATTTCTAGTTCCCTACCATTGTGATTAGAAAACATGCTTGATCTAATGTTAGTCTTCTTAAATTTATTGGACTTGTTTGTGTTCTATCTTGAGAAATGTACCATGGGCACTTGAAAAGAATATATATTCTGCTGCTTTCATGTGAAATGCTCTAAAAATATCAATTAAATCCATATAGTCTAGTGTGTCCTTTAAGGCCACTGTTTCCTTGTTGACTTTCTTTCTGGAAGATCCATCCACTGGTGTCAATGGGGGTGTTAAACTACCCTACGATGACTGTATTACTGTCGATCTCTCCCTGTATGTCTGTCAATATGCACCAAATACATTTAGTTGCTCCTCCTATGTTGGGTGCATAAATGTTTTTCAGGGTTATATCATCTTCATTGATTCCTTTATGATTATGAAATGTCCTTTGTCTAGTACAGCCTTTGTTTTAAACTCTATTTTGTCTGATATAAATATTGCTACCCTAGCTTTCTTTGTTTCATTCCATTTGCATGAACTATCTTTTACCATCCCTTTACTTTCAGTCTGTGTGTTTCTTTCCATCTGAAGTAGGTCCCCTGTAGACAATATATGTATAGGTCTTGTCTTTTTCTCCAATGAGCTACCCTGTGTCTTTTGATTGGAGCATTTAATCCATTTACATTTAAAGTAATTATTGATAGGTACATCGTTATTGCCGTTTCATTATTCATGTTTCTGTTCTTTGTTTCCTCCACTTCTTCTTGAAGAAGACTCTTTAACAGTGACTGTAATACTGGTTTGGTGGTGATAAACCCCTCTAGCTTTCTCTTGTTTGGGACTGAGGGTCATTGTAACAGTGAATTGGAGACACCCAAAGGTCAGGTCTAAGGAGGTACACATAGTGCACTGGGCCTGTCTCCACCTGAAGCGGGAGACAGAGATACGTGCAGAGTTCTCTATCACATGTAACTTGATTTTCTTTTTCTCTCATTTAGCCAACTGACTGCAGAAGATACTGACCAACTCCGAATTTCTGTCAACTGCTGTTTCGAGCAGCTTTCCCTGTTGGTTCAGACCATGGAGCACTTTGTACCCCCATTTTTTGCTAAGCCTAAGCAGTGAAAAAGGGGGCTAAGTTTAACCTGTAGTCCCTTCTATGGCAGCACATCCTTCCCCAGGGCACTGATTCCTACCGCAGTTGTTACTTTATACTGGGGTCCTAATTGTTTGCTTGTGGAGGCCTCAGGCACTCTCGACTCAACTATTTCCCCTTTCCTGAAGAGAGGGGTCCAAATTGTTTGTTACAGCAGGAAATAAAACTGAACAACTGTTATTGTGCACCTGAGTTTATTTTCAGCTGCTGCGCCTCCTCATTTTCTTGCCTTCGTCTCAGGTTTGGAAGGGCGGTCTGGGATTCAGCTATTCTAGTAGGACAAGGCAATTGAATACAATTTAGGAAATGGAAGAAAATGGAGTGTGT